GGTGTTAATCTTAGGGATTTAGAGAACAAGACATCAGAACTTCTGGGAACTCTGAGTAATTTGATGTCTTGAGTAATTCTTAATGTACTTTGAACCTTCTGTATACTCTTGGCTCATTAATGTAAATGTCTAAAAATATTTGTTTAATCAATTTTATTTATTATTAATATTCATTAATAGTAATGTGAATATGTTTTGGGTAACATGAAAAACCCTGTAGCCTATAGCTAATGTACAAATGCTGGAAAACACCAGAGACCATTATTTGAAAGTCTCTGATATTCATATCATCTAACATGAATAGCAACAGTACAGATAATCACATGCTGGTGTAAGCAATTTAAGCATCATTTTTACTTCCAAACTATTATTTCTTGAAACACTACTCAGAGAACATGACACAATATGTGATTAAACTTACGAGTATTTACTTTATTTACAAGAATGACTCATTATGAGCTTCACATGGGGCCATGGACACACACTGGGACCGTGGCAGTAGCTCCAAGTAGGGCTGGCACTATGATTCTTTCTCACTTCACATCCTCCAGTCCAGGTGCCTGAAGTGACAGTCTCAAACTCTTCAATGACATTGTTTCCTGAGATCCTTTAACTTAGCAACTTCTCTTTATTAAGTTTAGTTCTCTCTAAAGATTGTACTTGGGATTCAAGATTAGAAAAAAAATCAGAATACCTTTTTTTAATGCTTGAAAGAAAAACCAATAGGAAAACACTGCCTAAGATGGACAGCACTGTGGGCTCATGGGCATTTGAGTGGAGCAGTTAGGTCAAATTATTTGTGTTCCAAGAAAGAAGGTAAGCAACAATTAAATAAGGTTTTGAAGAGCACTGCCTTCTTTTCAGACTAAAGAACACTTGAAAACTTTACTAGATAAGGAGCATAATACATAGAATTAAAATTCATCCTGACCCTAGAAAGAATTATTACTAGGAGTTAATTGCAAGTTGCTTGTTTAGACTTTCTGTGGCTGTCAGGTTATTGCTAAGTGGAGGCCTCATAAACAAGAAGCTTCCTAACATGTCCTCTCCAGACCAAATGGACATGTGTTTCCCATTTCAGCATTTCATTGCCCCAACTGAAAACAAATCAGCTGTGTCCTTGGGATCTTAAGGAGAGAAGGTTAGGATTTATTCCTGGACAAGCCTGAGGAAAACATTACCCTAATGGATGAAATGTGTTTGTACTAAAGACTTCTCAAAAGTGTTAAACTAGCCTTTCCCAACTTGAGCTCCTCTGCCTTGAAAAGAGTGAAAATTCAGGAAAGTCCACTGGTGTTAGGCTGGCTTTGTCTTTATGTGAGGAATGATGCATAAACTTTGCTTTGGTTTAGATAAGCATCAAAAGTAGTCACTGTCTCCAGGGATTACACACACACACACACACACACACACACACACACACACACACACACACACACACACACACCTTCACCTTCACCTTCACCTTCACCAGTGTGGTCTAAAAATGCCACCCTTTCTTGGCTGTATACAGCAATCGAAACACACTTCCTGTTTTCTCAGGCCAAATTCCTCAATCAATTCTATTTTATTTCCTCAAGAAAACTTTCTCTGATTTCTCAATGTTCAACGTGGTCAGCAAGAATGTTGGTTCTAGAAAGATTATTTGCCTTTCTGCACTGAAAATAATGGTCTCCTTAGGTCTTCGAGCCTACTGTGGAGGAATTTTGCCTTCTTTTTATGGATTTTACCCTGACAGAGCACAGGAAATAGGAAAATAGATTTATTTTCCTTGGCAAAATCAGAGGATGCTGGGTTTAGCAATCTGAAGGTTTTTAAGAGTTCAAGCTGGGCAGCACGACATGAAGCCACTGGAACTGGAGGTCAGATTCTCAAGTATAATTAGAGAAATTCATTAATGGTCTCCTTCTCAGTTCTGTGTGATAGGAATACCCAGCAAGCAGGGCAGTTGACTTTCCTGTTCCTCTTCTCCTCCCTTCTATTTTTTTTCTTTTCCAAGTTTGATTTTTCCATGAACAGATTTAAAATTTTAAAGAAATTTGAGAGTTGCAAAGTCCACAGTGCACCCACTATACTAAGATGACAAGGAGCTGGTGACCTGCTCATGCTGACGTGATGCCTCCCTGCCTTTGAGAAAATAAAAGACTAGTGTAAAGGGGAAATTGGAAATTTATCCTTGTACAGGTGATTGATACAAATTCAGAATGAAATGGAGAAGTCACTACTTCATCACTCAGATTTGCGAGACTCCACCTGGAGAGAATCCAATACCTAATCCTTACTTGAGGTCTCCAACCAGTCAGACTTGGATTTTTTAGTAGACGTTTTAGTAAAATCATTTGAGGTTAGTCTGTGGTTGTATCTTCTTGCTTTCATATTTCATAGTATGAGGTCTATCTTTTTCATTTTTAAATCTTTTGAACGACTTCAGATTTCCTCACAATCACCATTTTTGGAATGTGGTGTGAGATCTTATTTGACAAGATAATTCACATTGATGTGAAATATAAGCATATTATATCATACTGTGAAATCATACTGTATGTAATTTATACCAGCAGTACTGGCATTCAGTGAGAGATGGTATTTCACTTTCAGGAAATATCAAAATGAATATATGAGCAAATTCACCAAGATAAGCATATACATATCAATGATATGTCCTATATTTTTTTTTTAAAAAATCTAGATACCATATTGTCAGAGAATGGTCCTGGAATAAAGTTGTGTGAGGAGAATTCTGTGTTCTTGTGAGAGCACTCAAGAAAAAAAGACAAGAGTCTTGTGACCTCAGTTTCTTCAAAAACGTGGGACTGTTCTTGAAACGTGTTTTTATGCTCTCTCAGGTGTGGTGAACAGGAGTGAGTTGACTTCAGATTACTCGCTATTGCTTGCTGCTGTTATTCAATTAAATGTTTAACTGATCCTTTATATGCCTCCCTCTGTAGAAAAACATGATTTTGCTACTTGCAGCTTATCCTTGTGACTGTATACAACTTGAACTCATGAGAACTTCACTCATGAGACCTTTCTTAACCCTCAGAGTGTAAATTGTCTGGGGCTCTGAATAAAGTTGACTATTACATGAGACTTTAGTCCACCTCATTTATCGTCTCCTTTCTCCCAGGTCCTACCATCTCTAGAATGGTGACACATATTATAAGAGAAAATATGCAATATTATTGTGTTTAAAATAGTCAACAGCTCCACCTAGCTCCCTGCAAATGACATAATTTCAGCCTTCACTGTAGATAAGTAAACCTCCACTATGTACATTAATCACATCTTTAAAATTCATTCTTCTGTTGGTGAGCATCCAGGCTGATTCCATATCTTGGTTACTGTAAATTACATGTTTACTGCAGTTGATATAAAAGTTCTCTTTTTAGTTTTAGTTTTTTGAGGAGCCTCCATACTGATTTCCACCCTCCCCACCAAGGATTCTCATCAGCAACTGTCACTTATTTTCTTGTCACTGAGAGGAGATGGCACCTCCATGTAGTTTTCAGATGGTCAAGGATTAAGACATGTCTTGACATAAGTCTGAGATAATAAACAGGCTTGATTTCTCTCTTCTCAGATTCTTAGAAGCAGCCCTCCATAGCCCTCTCCCTGCCTGTAGCTGTTCTTCAAAGCACAATATCTATCCCTGTGTCGAAACTACTCCCAAAAACCATTTACTAAAATGATTTATGTATGACAGGGCAATTTCTCATCTTGAAAAAAAACCATTCATATTTGTATCCCAAGTTGTCATTTTAAACTTCTGACTATGCCCCTGACCTTGATACTCAGTCCTGCTTTTCATGTCCTTACTTACCGGCAGCTCCCATTTGGAATTGGTAGCTTCAACGGTATATCTGAGACTGCACCATCCTTCCCCATGACCAAGCCTCTCTTTTTGCTGTTGATTTTGATGAAGTGTATCAATGATTTACTCCCTGAGTCACCAGGGTTCAGTTGGTATTATCGTTGACTCTCTTCCCTTCTTTCAGGGCCATCCTATTGAGTCTTCCCTTGGAAGACACACCCTAGTCACCATCCCCCATATGGCACCTCTGTCTTCCAGGGCTTGCTCTGCTTTAGTTCATCTTTGCCCTTTTGCAAGAAGTGTCCTGCCAAAATGGCAAGTTTGGGGATAGTTTTTTTCTCTTGTTTATAAACCATCCTTGCTTAAAAACCTTCTATGGGTCTCTATGGCCTGAAGAAAAGTCCATGTTTTTTGTTTGAAGTTAAAGGTCAACATCAAACTTCAGTGGGTTTTTTTTCTATTTAGTTTAAAAATAAACTTTTCATCTTCCTGAGTTTCCTGAGCCCAGATTCCTCAAGGCTGCATCCCTGGCTCATTCCTTCCTGTCTCTTGCTGTTGCCTCTTCTTCCTCTCTCCTCTTGTCCCACTCTAGCTCAGTGTTTTCTTTCTTCTTCTTCTTCTGGAATTATTCTATGCATTCTATCTGTCTAACAACTATTAACTGATTGTCTTGAATTGTTGCATAAAATTGTTTATTATCAAGTTGCCCTTTTGACCAGATTTTAATTGGTAAGAAAGCAGCTTATTCCTCACCACATGGTTTTTCTGTTCTCTTTATTGTCACATGCCCACACTGTACACAACGGTTGCTTAAAACGCTTCATTTTGATATTATTAAAATAAAAGCTTGTGCCTTGTATGAAGACTATTTGTCATATCATGTGTAGTACTGTGGGTACTAAAGTCATTGGTAAAATTGCTGAATTTTCATGAGAAGTTCAGCCCTCATCTTCCCATTGTACATACAGATATTCCTTCTTCCCCCCACTACTATTTTTGCTTTTGAAGAATAATAGATTATTTTTTCTTTTACAGGATATAATATTGTACTTTGATAGAAAGTTCCCTTGCTTATAAACCATTCTTACCTTCACTTTTCTCAGTGTCATCTTGAATCCAAGCAGTTCTTCATTTTGGAAGTTCAAAGTAAAAACAATCATCCGAGTTCAGTATATATTATAACAAAAGATAATGTTGTATCCGTCTTTCATTTTATTGAAAAGAAATCATTTCTATTCTAGCACAAACAATGTATATTTTACATCATAAAGCAAGTTATAATTTACATATTACATTTCTTATGAGATCTTTATTACCATATGTCATTTAATTAGGTCATTACTTCTGGTTTAATTTAACCTGCCAAGTACTCTACTAATTAGCCTCTTGTTTGGAAAGGGATTGGGGACAATAATAGTTTAATGCCTTCATCTGGGTATATTGATGGAGAGCAACAGGTGTATGTATGCCTTGAGTCTGTGGCACTGCAACACTCCTCTGGCAGTTGACTTACAAGCTAGAAATCTATTCCTTCAAATTACTTGTTAAACTTATGTTTATTTAAAAAGTGGATCACATGAACAAAATTGAGAGCTAGTGTTTCAGGGATATCTCCAGATAAGTGCTCAGATAAAGATGTTGTGGTGTGGGTCCACCAGCAGCAGGCATTCCTGTGACTAACTAGCATGGGTTATTCTATGAAATTCCCAGAAATTGCTGATTTGAAGCATCAGATAAGGCCTCCTCCCACTTTCTCCTCTGAGTTTATGGAATCGGGCTCTTTTGATGGCCACTGGAAATGAAGTCAGGATGAAGGATTCAAACAACTTCAAACAATTTTCTTATATGACTCTCTTCCAAGATTCTACCCTCCTTAGCAAAACCTTTTCATTTCTAATTTCTGTTCCTTGCCTACAATCCAAATCTTTTAGCTATTCGCTGCAAACTCTAAATCCCCAAAGTTTATCAGTCTATTGGACTTGTACTCACTTTACAAATCAAAGGAAGTTTTTACAATAAGGTTGTACTGTTCCTTTGAAATTTGATAACACACAGCAACCAATGGGGCAAATACATGAGTGGTAAGACTCCTTAAAACAAGCAGTGTGCGTTCAGCCAGACCACATGACCTACTCTGAAAGAACTGCTTTAATAGTAGTTATTGAGAAGGTTCACTTCATGAGATCAAAGTACACAAGACGGTCTTCCTTCTTATTATTAAACAAAGTACAAAATCACTTGAAATATATTTTTAGACCGGTGGCTGTTAACTGAAATAATATCACCATTAACTCAATTAGCTATGCCAAGGGAAGTACAAACGTGTACTAAAGGTGCATCGTATACCCCCAAATACTTTGCCTGTCACTCATATTACAAAGTTGACATATTTGGCCAAAATCAATCTGAAGCATTTTATTCACTGAGAACTATGGTTATTAGAACCAAGTTGTTGATGAAAATATAAGTTAAAAATATCTCTATACTTTGTGCCTTAAATTATTCTTTGGTCAAATGATGTGATTGTTGAGATATCTAAAAATATAAACCTATTTATTATTTCCAAACACAGGGTTGGGTTATATGTATACACAGCCAGGTATCATTTCCTGCTAGAAAACAAAGCTTCCAGATGCTGTGTTAGTCCATGAACATTGTATGCTCTTAAAGTCCCTTTTCTCCCATGGCTACAAAGTGCTGGAAAAACAAAGAACAAGGAAGGAAGGGAGGGAGGGGGAGGGAGGGAGGAAAGGAAAGAAAAGAAAAAAGAAAAGAAAAGAAAAGAAAAGAAAAGAAAAGAAAAGAAAGAAAAGAGAAAGAAGTAGAGCCAACGAACATAGCCTCACAGCATCCCTGTGAGGTACGTAAGAATTATTAAACCCATTTTATAATCAGGTAAACTAGACACAGTGTGGTAACATGGTTTGGTCAAGTCCACCAGGAAAGTTGACAAAGCATAACTGGGAACAAAGAGAAACAAAGAAATACCTTCCCTGCCTCCCACCCTACATACTAAACCTCATTTCAAAAATACTAAAATATAAAAGTACAACTGTCCTTAATTTTTTATTAGCTCTAGGCACTTCACTTAAACATTACTTGTTTTCATATTTCTGCGGAGTGGAGAAAGAGCAGATGGCTAACTATTCCCCTTCCCCGCCCCCACACTGTGCCTGTTTTCTGGGTATATTTTCCGTGATATGTCAGATGATATAGACTTTCCATCTAAGCTTAGGCTCCAAACTCAAGATCATTCTTATACTGCCAAATAATTCCTATTCCCATTAAAGCCCTAATGTGAAAATGAAAGCTGTTCTCAAACAGTTTCCTAGCAAATTGCTCTTTGACCTTAATGAGAATTTTGTATAGAATATGGAAAACAGCAAGATGCCACATTAATGTATCATTCCTCTGTAGATAAGGAGCATGGTGGTGGTGTAAAGTTTGCTTTTATAGTGTTTGAGAAACTGCAAACTGAAGCTTGCAATATTATATATATATATATAATATATATAAATATACACAGAATATATATATATATATATGTAAGTGTGCATCTGACCACCCCTAAGGCACCAAAGAGGTAAAGGCTATGCCTTTCACAATTCAGCATTTGTTTCCCTAAAAAAAAATCTACAAAATATCCTACAAAAATTCTCTCCATCTCTAAAGCCAAAAGTACTTCTTCTACCAAAGAGCAAGTGACAGCAATTGTTCAAAAGCAACAAAATCTTTAAGTTAGGATGTTTATTGTTTGGTTTGGATGAGGGACGGTGTTGATGGTGACATTATAATCTAGAGCTTAGGGCTTAAATCCACAGATTAGCTCTCGATCTTAGAGCTTAGAGTGCACCAGACATGGCCAATCACATTGACTAGACAGGTCAGACACCAGAACATCTGTACATTTCTTATTCCTGAAGCTGATAGAAAAACCTTACCACGACAAACAGACATGGAGACAATGATACAGATTCTTCAGAAATGCTTTGGATTTTCAAAATCTCCTAAAGAGACTTAGAAGGAGACAGAGTAAGGCACTGAGGTCAAATTGGCTACTGAGAAGTAATCTTTCACACATACATATATATGTATGTGCGTATACGTGTGTGTGTGTGTGTGTGTGTGTGTGTGTGTGTGTGTGTTTCTTTGGCTGCTGCAGATTTTTTTTTTTAATTCTCATACAGTTATAGGAATGGGTGGGCTGAGCCTAACTGAAGAAGCCTGGAGTATAATTAGCAAAGCATGGATAGAAGGAAAACACAATAAACACACACAGAAGCAAATGGTGATGATATCCGAGAGGAAGAAGGAACCACTGTTAACTAATTTTCATTTTGTTCCTCTCCTGCTTTTCTCCGCCATGGTCCCAATATTTTAGTTCTGGCTTTGTTTGTTTGCTTTTATTTTTTTTCCAGCAGATGAAGAAATGACAGAACAGGATAGGTTTCTTATGGTTTTTGCTTTCTTCTTAGGCCTGTTTAATTATTTTTTTTCCTCAGTTGACTGTTGGCACCTGGTTCCTCTGTAAACTATATTCCTTGGCCTTCAGTCTCAGGTTGGCAATGCTGTTGGCCATGTTGATGCCCTGTGCAGGGCTATTGTTGGCACATGTGGCAGAATAAGTAGCCATGGCGCTGTAGGGACAAAGGAGAGAGTAGGGAGAACAACAGGCATTAGTTTCATAAAGCTGCAAGTCCATGCCCTGGGTGGAGATACTCTCAGGACAGGGGCAGGCAGGGCGTTAGGGTGAACAGAGGACCTCTGGGGTCTCTGATAGGCCCAGCTTTCAGTTAGTCTAAGGTCCTTGGAAAAGGGTGGCCATCTTTTACAGGACATTGGGGAAGCAGAGGAAAAGGAGATGGGGGTAGGGAGAGGTATTTGCTGTGTTGAATACAGTGAGTAATGATTTATTTCTGAGGGAAGAGGAGATTCTGAAGTCAAGTAGCAGGAGTTTCATCAGCTACTTAAACAGAGTCTAAGCTCTCCTACCTATACCAGACAGCCTGTGGAACCAGTGGAGCAGATCAGCAAGGGAGCGACACTAGACTGAAAGAATTTTGCTTCTTCAGTCTGGGGAACTGACCTTCATTTCAATGCATTTTGGATAATTGTCAAAACCATAAGGAATGATGTGCTTGTAGAATTGGTTAAGCAACCCAACATACTCCTCTGTCATTGTGATTCACTGGACAGTAGTAACAAAAGTTGTCAGATCAAGACTTTCCTATCAATGGGTCTTGATTTTTAAAGCTTCTCAAAAGTACTTGACTAGCACACACCACCTTTGGGGTAAGTTACTTTGGAGATATTTAAAATTACAAAATAAACTTCCCCAGTTATAGTTTTACCATTCTTGATCTCAGACATAACTGTTTCTCACTGTTTATATTGTTGAGAGAAACATGAGCTAGTTTTGATTGTCATAGACTATAGTTAAGACCTTGACAAGAACTCATCATTGGTGGGTTTTTATTCAGGGCATCCACAAATCTCTTTTTTAAAGGAAAAGAAAATGGTGTGTAGATGTGGGTGCAAATGGTCTCTTTCTCTCTGTGAAATAATTAAAATGAGACTTTTTGGACTAAGTGGAATGTTTCTAGCTGTTTCTAAGATTAGTAAAATCCCTTTCAACAAAGAGCTGAGATGAGACTTAGAATCGGGATGACATGCGCTTTTCCTGCCGCCCGCATTCCAGTGAAATTTTGTCAGCCACACAGGAGTTTGTGGTTCTGGGATCGGATGGCAAGATCAGAAAGAAGGAAAACTAAAGCTAGGGGGAATAGATCATTGGTGTTTAGTTGGAACAGCACAGAGTCAAGATTAGAGTTAAGACTCACAGTAGTCTATTTCACCTCAGAATCTAGCATCTACCAAGAAAAACACGAGTTAAAGAAATATACTAAGTTTCAGATCACTTACTCACCCTATAAAACAAACCTTTTAAACACTTTATTACACGGGTATAAGTGACTGTGAGAATAAAGTCTACATTACAACAGACGTGAAAAGGCCCAAGGTGACAAAAGAACTCTACATGCTTACATTACCCTTGTTTAGCTTTCCCTCTTACTGATCATTTCTGGGTAGATGGCCCTAAGTCTCCGTCCCCAGACAAGGCTAGGTTCTCCTGTAGCACCCTGTATTTTTGCTTTACTCATTTATTTCATGTGTAATTAATAACTTGTTCGGTATCTGTCATTGTCATGTATAAGCTGCATAGGTCACCACATCTACTTTCTCCATCACCATATCCTCAGGTAGAGCTGACACCACATCCAGCACATATTTGTTCAATAAACCGCTTACTGAATAAACAGCCATTGATAGATACACAGTGATTAAACTGATCTGTGCTCAATGTCCCTGCCATCTGTAATCCTGCCGCAGAGATCTTTAAAAGGAATTCAATTATTCTGGAGAACTAGTCATTTCTGCAAAATTTAACTTAATGGAAGGAAAGAGTCAGAAGGATGTGGCATAAGAGGGCATAATCATTGCATATTCCTAGATCTATAAAGATGTCTTTTCATAGTAAAAAAAAATGCATTAAAGCTTAATAAAACAGACTGTTTTTTTATCAAGGTTCATCCAAGAGGCAAAGGAGTCCCCAGTTAAAGCAGGCTTAAATTATGAATGAGTAAATAATAACAACAATCCACTAAGACAAGGACAAAAGCCAAATAGATATCATTTAAATTCTAGATGAATTACATGTTTCTATCTAATATCCTATCAGAAATCAATGCAAACCCAAAATTTATAGTTCAAAAATTTCCAGGATATACCAAACACTCAAAAATTTAGTAGCTGCTAGGTGTGGTAGCACACACATTTAATCCCAGCACTTGGGAGGCAGAGGTAGGTGGATCTCTGACTTTGAGGCCAGCCTGGTCTACAAAATAAGTTTCAGGACAGCCAGAGTTACACAGAGAAACCCTGTCTTGAAAAAACAAAAAATAAAATAAAACAAAAAATAGTAGCTAAGAAAAGAGATAATAACCAGATTTGGGGAATATATCTAAATTGTGGATTATTACAAAATGAAATTAGCCTTTCTCAACCAGGTTTCTATGAGAATATCAAGTCCTAAAGACAGTCTACAGTTATTAGCATTTTAAACAAATGGAGCAGAAATTGTCATTACAGAGTGTCTGTGTTATTTGTTAAATACTGGGAAGAGAACTGAGTGACTTCTGAATATACAAGGCTAAAACTTCATGAGAGAACTTAAAGAAAAAATGATCAATGTGAATTATAGATTGTTATGGAATGATTTTGCTTTTAGATACTTTGCCTATGTTTCTAAGAGAGTTGTTCTCCATCCTTTGAGATTCTGGGCAGCTAGGTCCTACTTCATAGAAATTCACCTTTTCTGTGATAAATGAAAGTATTCTATTTCCTCAATGGAGGAAGGGGTTTGGAACCTTGGGGAGCATGTATTAGTTTTCTGAAGTTGTTGTTACTATTTCTCTGAATTTTCTGCTATAGTGTTGGTATCCATTCTGCTATAGCACATTGTTTTGGCTACAATTATTTCGTAGTCTGCTATCTATCTCATCTGATGTTCTAGCCGGAGTACTTTCTATGGTAACACATCTCTTAGACACACTGAATTTCTCTCTAAGGTAGGTTGGCAGTAAGTAATATGAATCGATCTACTTTCTCACTCAAAACCAAATGAATAAGAATTAGGATAGTATCTTGCACAGGAGACTGAATATTCAGCAGGGCATTCAAGTGGCAGCCTGTACTAGCACAGCAGAGAACAGATCTTTTTTGCACTCTGTGGTTCTGCAGTGATGAAAGCGACCTCTAGCAGTGATTCTGTGGCAATCTTATATGAAGTCCCTCAAGTTACAGGGCCTGAAGTTAAGAAAGCAGTTGATATTAACGAGTGACATTTGCACTCCCTTGGGAAGCTGGGTAAGTGATACCAGTTTCACTTGATAAATGCTTAAGAAAGTCACTAATTTTCAAAGATTGAACAAACTTAGTATTGTAGCATTTGTTAGCTGAATATGAGACTATGAAGAACAGACACCATATAATCCCACAAAACAGAATTTCAGTCATATTTTATACATTTCCCTCTGGGTGTTTGACATAGGTCTATTTTTACAGCTCAAGCTAAATGTGCAGTATAGGCCAGCAATGGGCAGCTTTTTGACATACCTACGACAAACATTATCAGTCAGAAAAGAGAGAATTAACTACTGATGTCCCAAGAGTTGCTTAGTCATGCTTTAAACATAGCATTGGAAGGTGGAAGACTTGTTTGCTTAAGTGACAACAGATGCAGAAGAGCCTTGAATGGCTGCCAATCTGAGAGACTATTCATGACCACCTGTTTTCTATGTCATGGAAACTTCTAAAACTCTGCTTTAGGAAAGGAAAGAGAGCCCTTAAATATCTTCCCACCAGAGAGGCACCAGCGAAGGTAATTAATTGATTTCAACCAAATAATGCGTCATCTAGCCCATGTAAAATTACTACTTGTTCCTACACAGAATGAAATTTCTTGGAATTAAAAAAAAAAAAAAGACAGAAACTCAGTAATGTGTATCAGTTAAACACAGGACAGCCACCAAGAGCCCAGTCAACTGACAGACATCTAAGTGCTAAGTCTCCCCCTGGGTAAGAAACTCTCACTCCTGTAAGCAGGGAGCACATAGGAGCTGAGAGCCCTGGGACCGAGTTTTCAAAGGTTGGCTAATATACCATTTCTGATGAATTTTTAACAAAGCTCTTTGAATCTGTAACCAAGAGACTATATTGCCAAATAAAGCACATGGAGACACTAGGGATGAGAAAGAGACGCTTGTCTTCCATCTGCTGACTCATCAAGTCTGCAGTGGGACTTCACAGAGCTGACATATTTTGAGAAGCATGAGGTTTTCCACTTCCTTATTTGGAGATTCCAAGCAGATGCAACCCAGCAGCATGCTAACCCCACTAACGGTTAGATAATTGTTTCCTCTGGAGACCAGTTCTACTTGATCTGAAAGGTAGTTTTTAAGGAAAACTGAGTGAAAATAATTGCCAATACCAAGGAAGTATAGCAAATATTCTAAACAGTTTGACTTCTAATCACCCATAGAGTCAGTCCTATAAATCACAAAACAATTGAGGAGAAATGTTAATACCTGACTTGATCTTAAGTGCTATTTTCTGGTTGGCCTTTTTGAATACAGGATGACAAACTGCTCAAAACATCACCCTAAAGGTGATCATGACAGCCTAAGGAGTATGTGAATGGTCCTTAGCATCCAAGTTCCCATCAACTCTAGCTTGTCTTTCACAGGTCCTAGTTTGTGGTTTTCTGAACCCTGAAATACAGAGGTTGGAAGCCATCTCTTTGGCTTGTTCTTTTGCCAACATGAGAACAATGGAAGTATGCTTATTTCATCTAAGAAAAGTAAATTTCAGTTTCCCTAGGGAAATGTACTTCTAAAGTAAGATCCCGCAAATCCTTTGGCGATGCGCCTATGTAACTTAAATCATCATTTCTTACTTCTGCTTGAAATTTGGAAGTTGAGCTTTAAAATGTATACTTGGTTTTTCTAAGTGGACACACGGGACTGCATTTCATTAGTAAGACATTAGTTTCTATTGCCTGTTCTGTGATCCTTCTACAATGTTCAACTTCTCTTTCTAGAAACATCTTCCTACTGCCACATGATCTTTTGTGTTTCCCTTTTTCAGTCTTGAGCATGCCATATTGTTTATCCCTAGATTCTCAACTCCCTTGTGAGACATACAATAGGGAAATTATGTCTAGCTCGATTTTTCAATATAAGGTTATATAATAAATCAACTATGATATTATCCTGAGAAGCAACAGAGGCAGGACAATGATGGAGTCTGACCCCTGGCTCATACTCTGGGTGTCTAAAGGCTCCCTAGTCAAAGTCTGTCAAATATGACCATCATGGGAATTACTTCAGAGTGGAACTACAGAGATCAAAAGCCCAGCCTCACTCTAGACTGAATGGATCAGTCTTCATAGGCACAGCCCGATCATCCCAGAACATAATCATGTTTGAGGGAAGCTGCTCTAGACTGTCTCACTTCCTCAGAAAGCGTGCTTTCTTACAGTTCTGAGTTCTAATTTCCCGCTTGGGGAAACTCCACTGCTTATATTTCTAAGACATCAGCCCCAGTTTCTTTAAAAAACAAAAAAACAGAAACTAATTCCCCCTTAAGCCCTACCCCCAAGAAGCCACCCTCAACCCCATCTGACAAGTTACCTGTTCAGTGTCTTCCGTTAGAATCCGTTATGAAGCCCCTCGTGTAAACAACATCTTGGGAGGGACGAAGATCTATTTTTGAAAGTGTGAAAGGGAGAAATGAGCCAAATGCGTTGAGCAGATGTCAGCAGCACCATGACCAAGACCAACTGAGGGGCGGGGAGGGGCACTATGAAAGAGCAATCAGCTGTTCTTTCCCTTGCCACTAGTTTCGAGTCCAGCCCTCCCTCTGTAAATGGCACTCCAGACCAGTACTACAGAGACAAGCCATTCACGAGCTACCTCTCAGAGGAACAAAGGTGTCTGGAGAAGGGTTTCTTGGCTACTTCATCTCAAAGAATAGTATAGGGTTTGGTTGATTTTTTGCTACCCAAGAGGCATAACACTGTAGTTAGTGAGTCTTGATAATTTTAGTGTTTGTGTGCATTTTCATTCTCATAATTTGCCTAAAGAAAATAATTCTCTGCTAAGAAGTGTGTTTATGTCCCAAAGACAAGCTTGCTTTAATTAGCTACAGGTAAATAAATAACAACCTCTACTAGGAAAGTAGTGTCCATGTTAGGAAATCCTTTGCTCCCTCTGGTACCTTAGTTGCCTGTCTGACATCATCATCTAGTGTCCTCAAGAGAATGGGTAAGGTCATACTGAGCTATAGTTAGAGGGAGCCAAATGTCCTGGCTTGCCAGGGACAATCCTGGTTTATACTTTTTGTCCTAATATAATTATTAGTATTCTAAAACCTTCCCAGTCCAGATGATATGTTATATGATCTTTACACTCAATAGCAAAGACATCCAGCAAAAACAGGAGGAAGGGAGTTGGCTACTTCCCAGCCTATGATCTGACCAAAAGCAGATACCTGCCTTTATGACTTGGTCCAGAGATGAGCTACTGAAGTCAGAAAACCATTCTCTCCGACAAGTGTCTACTCACTTTCCTGGGGTTCCATTATCAAACCACATAGGCCATCCCACTGGGATGCCCACACCCCAAGATAGAGACCCCAGCTGCAGACATGCTTTACTGATCAAGAAAGAATGCTTGAACCAAGGAGCATTTAGATAGTTTTCTGATCTTATACTTTTTAGTACTCCCAATACAATGCATTGTGAATTTGAATTTGAATAGAATAGGCTAACCATGCAACCCTATGTGTTGGACAGAAACAGGGCCCAGAAGTACTGTTCTAACTCTGCTTACTGAAGATTTAAACCTGGGGAAGTATTCAGTTTCCTCTTGTTTTGAACCAGGGCAAGGACAGAGCTATCACACAGGAGTGGTCTAAAAGGTTAACCAAGAGAAATGTCTTTTAATGAGGATCACATGTGAGGCAACTAGCTTGACATAATAGTACCAATAGCAACAACAACAACTATCATTTCCTTTGCTTTTCATCATTTGTTTTTCTTTTATATTTCCTTAACAAGAATTATGTTTCCTAGCAAAGTTCAAAATGTAAAATCGTAATATGTTTGATTCTAAACATAGTCAAAAAATCCCCAAGTAACAGAAATTAACCAAATTATAAACACTTCGGTCAACATTAGGTCAAAGAAACATATCATTCATTAAACTGTTGCCTTAAACTTTGTTTTTCTAAGTATCCTGGATATTAGTTTATTCTTCATACAATATATGAACAATCGGCTTCGGTATCACTTCACTTAGTTTTTTATAAACACTGTATATAAGAGAAATAAATGCATACCATGAAATAAGCAAAGGGAACTAGGTTATACAGTCTTAAGTGAAAAAAAGCATGATACAAAAAATATGTACACTAAGATTATTCCTAAATAAAATATTGAACTCTAGTCATAAAATGAACTAACTAGTTATGTCAAGATATTGAAATTATGGGTGGATTTTGGAAATGTATTTAGAATTTCTATCATTTTTCAACTAAAATAGAGTATTTCCCAGAAGGCACACACGAATCGCCATGTTACTAGTTTTCTGTTGGATGCAGACACCGGGGCCTGTCTATCTTTGGTTCGGGTGGCCTAATTCAGTGCTAGTTCAGGACAGATTTCATCTCCATTTGTGTAGCATGCTCTGTTTGGCTTCATGGATAGAGACCACATGGCAGCCATGTGGATTGTGAATAGCTGGGGGGTAAAAAAAATCCCAATGAAGACATAAGCAGAAAAAGGAGCAATACTTCCTGGTTACAACCAAATTCAAACCAGAGATCTTAATTCAGCCAACCCTGAACTGCACCCATATCCCAAGCGGCTGGCTGAATCTGTAGACTATCAGTAGTTGTAGGGAGAACAGGCCTCCCACTTATTTAAAATATTAAAGAATATGCTATTCCATAACAGCCTCCAAAATGTGTTCTTAGTAAGTTCCATGGGAGAAGTATCTGAATTTTAAGTAGGAAACATAGACATGACTGATCTTTCAAAGTCAGCCAGGATGGGGGCAATGAAGACCTAGAGCAGGAATAGGTCCCTCTCATTCTTCTAGACATGGGATATCTATCATTGAGATCAGAGCTACTTCAGGCTAATTTCACAAGAGATGTACCCCAAACTCCCAAATGTTCCTCTTGTGATAGTTCTCTGAAGAAATTATTTGGACCAGAAAGACCATTTAGGTGAGGCTTTGAAATTTAATGACACCTACCAACTGTGGCAAAGTACTCGTGTTTCCCAAATGTGCATTTCACATCTTTAGCTGGGCCCAATCTCCTGTAACCAGTTTTAAACCCCTCCTTAGGTCAAGAATTAGCTTTAAGAATAAAAAAAATTTTAGATGTCATTTAATAGAAAAATGAACATATGCATAGTTCTTCCACAGAGATCAGCCAGACAGAATATATAGCCTTGACCTGGTGGTGTCTCCCAGGTTTAAAGAAGGACACACAAGCCTGTTCTTATGCTAAGCACAGGAACCCTAGATGCGATTGCACCAACCTATGCTTTCTAAACAGCATCCTGGATGGAGGGTAAAAGTCTCCAAATAGAGACTGCAATTGTCCTCTGTTATTTTCTCCTTCAAACATTCCCTTTTTAATATAGAAGTTTAGTGTATTTTTTTCTTATTTAAAGCATACCACACAGAGTGAGAGAGAAAGAAGCATACCACAGAGAGGAGGAAAAAGGAGAGTGGGATAAACATTGGAATCTATAAGAATTACAAATAGACTAGGAAGGCATTTGGGGGTCTTAAGAAAGCCTTACCCCTTACCAAAGAACTGGGGCCATGAACGTGATTGAACTTCTCTGTTGCTGAGTTTTCTTCTCCTCCCTCCCTCCATGCCTCCCTCCTCCTCCCTCCCGTCATCCCTCCCTCCCTCCTTCCTTTCCTTTTAATTCAAAATCAGTTTTATTGTGAAGAGTGCCTTTAGTCCTACAATTGGAGCATTACACATTGATTCTCTACTTGACCATAATACAGCAAATGTGTCCTAAACGGGATAGTTTTGTTTTAGAATGGTTCCAAGAGGGGCACTGGATACGGTTTTCAAAGGATCTGTTCTTTTATATTCTTTCCAAGTTTTGCAACCTTGGCAAGAATTCCTGAGTCCAAGAGGAGATTGCTGATGGTTGCCCCTCTCTCTTCTGCCCCAAACCCTGCTCCTGGGGCAACTAGCAATCTCCTGTAACAATGTGGGGATGTCAGCAAGTTGAATGTCTCTGAAGAGGTTAACCCAGTAAGGAATGTCAACCAGCTGCAAAAGCAGCCTTGAGAGTGGTGGATGGCTGAGAAGCATGTGGAAGTGGAGCAAGGGAGAGTGGGCCAGTCATTCACCTGTACGGAGAGGCTGTCCCCCAGGAGAGATAATCGGTGGGTCTAGGAGCAGGGCGAGGTACTATGGGCTGCTCCACAGCAGTCACGTCTCCTGAGTAGGACTTGAGGAGGGAAGCATTTTTATTGGCCAGCATGGCTCTCTCATTCCGGCGGAACTTGGCTCTTCGGTTCTGAAACCACACCTGGAATATTGTTGAGAGGGGAGAAAGATACAAAGAGGGAGAGGAAAAACAAAGAAAAGCAGGTTACAAATTTTGGCTGATTTTACTACACAATGCCATCCCAAGAAAGATATGGGATGGGTCTGGAACCCTTCCTAAAACAATAGAAATATTGCAGTGTAATCCTTCCCCCTGGGGCTATGTGATTCAGAGTTAAACCTCTATGTCTGTGGAACACTTCAGTGGTAGATCTTAGCACGTATAAAGCCCCATGTTAATCCCCTTTGCTAAAGGACCTTGAAATACTTCTAGTAATTAAGAGCCCAGAGATGAGATCTATGAATAAGAGATGAGACAAGGAAATATAGGTTATAAACCCTGCTGTAATTATAATCATTAAAAGGAGGATTTCATTAGATGTTGGCAATGGATACAATGGTTTTTCTAAGGGCATTTTAAAAATCCTTCAAAGTGGAATTTTTCATCTGCTTTTATTGTGTTTGTTATTTAAAGAAAACCCTTTATCTCCCCCACATCTTCTGGCAAGGATTAAGAAGCAAATGATTCATATAAGAGGTGCAGGAAAAACCATCAGAAAGTGAGGTGGCAATAGAAGAAAATGAACCACTAAAGAGTGCAAAACAAATTGGCAACCCTTATGGGAGCTCAATCAAATGGTGACTCAAGAGACCAAGACTAATGGAGGGCAGATGTCCCGGGGTGTCCCTCTCCCCTCAAAGGTATAGCTGTACACTGACTCCTGCCTATAAAGTTCTAGAGCTTCTAATGTATTGAACCACACATGGAAACCTATTTATGTTCTATAAAGAAACTCTCAGCAGAAAACAAAACAAAACAACCAATGGGCACTAGCCCTGAGAATTCAATTGGAGGACATTGATTTGCACATCTCAAGGAATGTGGGTGGCCCTGACAGCATCTGCAATAGCTAATGATAAACTCATCACTTATTAAACTGCTCCCAGGACTAGTGACCTACATCGGGACTTACACGCACTGTTTCTACTTAGCATGACAATTCTGCATATTAGGTTTTATCATTTCTACTTTAAAGTTGAGGAACATGTCCAATGAGATTACAACACTGATGTTCTGATTTTTTTACCTAAGGATGTCTAACCCATTACCATACAATTCTCCTATACTGTAATAGAATTTTAGCTATTCATTTATATTCATTCAAGAACTCTTTGTGGAGTGCTCATTGGAGTGCAGGCCTTGTACTAAATGCTGGGAAGAAAGAGATGAAGAGGACTGTTTCAAGCAGCTCGAAATTTATTAAAGATGGATGTGTAAGTATGTCTGAAATAATGCAAAGCAAATATTTTAGTCAAATCATAGAAAGTATGATAGTATATGGGAAGAAATTACTCTAGGGGATGACATTTGCCTAAAATACCATGTTACTATTGCCTTCCCCCACACCACGGAATTGTGTAGCATGCAGGACCTGAATGGAAATCAGCAAAGGTGAGATTAAACATCTCCTCCCTACCTTCGCAGTCCTCAGATCTTTCATTTGTAATGTGATCAACACATCGCTGTTACAATTAGTACTTTAAATGTAAATATAACTGGTGCCTTGCTCGATACCATCTACTGCCTTCCTACTAGAGAGTAAAATGAAAATTTCTTAACACAGAGAAAACACTATTCAAGAATTAGCTCTCTCTTTTTCATGAAGCCACATTACTTTCTACTGTTTCTTAAGCTCAGGGCTACCAGAGGACTCCCAGATGCAGTAGGTGACTGTCTAGCTACACACAGTTATACCAGACATTTCCTCTACTGGCAGCATTCTTTCTCTCTGTCCAAGTATCAAATCCAAGATTATATTGTAACATCACTTCCTCCATGAAGTGTTGTAAAGATCTTAAAGACTTTAAGGTCTAAGAGAATTGGATAAAAATACCAGCTATTCTATACTAAGGATTTATCATTGAACTGCTATTTAATTGGTTTATTACTTTGTCTCACAGTTGATTAAAAATGACTGACATGCTTACAAATAGTTATGAGTTGGTTCACAATGTACAGTTAATAAGGGCATAGTCCCTTCCTTTTCCTTGGGCAGAGTGGATCATTATTTATTCTACTCTATCAATAATTCTTGCAAATTTCTTTACTGTGGGGATCATCTCATGATGGCATCATTTGATGGTTTAATTGTCTTTTCTCTCTGTTTCAGACTGTGTCATCCTTAAGAAGAGGGTTAGTGTCTTATTTATCACCAACAAATCAAATCAGGTTAAAAAGTCCACAGTTCCTCAATAGGCATTTGAGGAAAAGGGGGAAATGAATTTTAAAAAGCTGAATAAAACTTATCCCCACACAAGAGGACTCCATCACCCAGTGAGGGGAGTTGACCCTCACTCGAGATAACTGGATACAGTACCTGTATCATATCGAGATAACTTGATACAGTACCTGCCATGTTATGATAAATGCCCTGAATATGGAGTCCCGGAGTGAGGGGATTAGTTTGATCTAGGAAAGCCTGGGACTTTACAGAGAAATAATAAGGTCACAGGGGAACAATTCTGTGCCACTCGTCTAGGAAATGTTCACAGCAATGGAAGGCATTGGTTTGTAGTGTGGTGGAAAGGAAGTGTAGGAAGGGAAAAAGTGTAGTGTGTAGGAAGGGAAAAAGAGATAGATGGTAGACACCCAGATGATACAGAGATGGCATTTTCCTGTCTCTCCCACCGTGTGTGTGTATGTGTGTATGTATGTGGGCATATATGTATGTATGTGTATAACATTCAACTATTGTAATTGAACAAGATAATTTCCCAACTCAAAAGTTACCCATTTGCATTTTTAAAACAATTTTCACCTTTGTACTATCTATGTTTCCTTTCTCAAATTTGAAGCACTATTGCAAAATGGTGCTCTAAGACACTAGGGGCTACTAGTTTATTTATTTTAATTTTTTTACATACAATATATTTTGACCATATTCTTTCCCATTCTCCAACTCCTCTCAGGTCTTCCCTGCCTCCTTACCTATCCAACCTCATGCTTTCTATTTCTCTGTCTCTTTGTCTCTCTTCCTCTCTGTCTCTCTCTCAAATAAATAAACAAACAAAAAACGAAGGTCAAAACAAACAAAAAAATAATAAAAAAATAAAATGCCAAAAAAGAGAAGAGCATGTTTTGTGTGTGTGCTTTGTGTGTGCATGTGAGTGTGTGTGTGTGTGTTACTCATATAAATTTGTTCATTTCACTGCAGGCTGATGTTGTGGAAACAGGAGATGTAGGTTAGGAAAGCAGAGGAAATTCAGAGCAGTGTGCAGAAAACAACCTGGGTCAGAAAGCAACCTGGGGTGGTGTGCACTGAGGTTAATGTCAGTTCTGTGAGTATGATGGGATGGAGAAAACAGGATCATAGTGTGGTCATGAGTCCTAACAACCAACACAGAGGTGTATCCTCAATATTCTGTCTCCGTTTCCTCGGGGCCAGAGTAAGGGCCTAGATGTCTTTCCTTACATTGTTGCACTGCAGTTCTTTCTTGTCTCATGGGGAGAACTTTGAGGTGGAGTGCCTGTCTCACCATGCAGAAAATCTTCTCACACTCCTCTTCCAACTGAAGGAGTCACCATTACTCCACCTTCCCTTGACTTGCTTTATTTCATAGAGACATTGGAGACTATAAGAAGTTATCTACTTTGAGTGTGCTCTTAACTTAATTTCTCATATTCCTCTCCAGTCTTTATCACCATTCATAATCATGAATACACAGAGCAAGGTGCTGGAAGGTTTATATATTCTCCCAAGCTAGAGAAGAAAGCTTAGGTGAGGGAGAGTTAATAGCTAAGGTATGGCCGCTCTAGAGCTCAAGTTGAAAGCTGGGGGTGCAGAGGCAAGCGCTCAAGTGGATGGCATAATAGAACACCAAAGTGTAAGGTTCACAGCAATGGGAAGGAGCTAGCCCTCCCTGGCATAGTCCACACTTCCTAAAGGCATTATATTTGATTTAAAAAAAAATACCATTCAACCCAAAGAAACACAGCCTGTCATCATACTTCATATTCACAGCCCTTCTCAGTACCAGCTCCAATCCCAAGCCTATATATTATATTAGTTATATTTATATTCATAAACAGTCTTCAGAGATGGGTTGCTGTGGAGGGGACACTTGGTACCTGCCACCCAAAGTATGAGTTACCTGCACTCTGGCCTCAGTGAGGTTCACCCGACGTGCAAGATCTTCTCGCACAAAAGCATCCGGGTAATGTGTCCGCTCGAAGACACGCTCCAGGGCCTGCAGCTGGCTGCTGTTGAAGGTTGTTCTGTTTCTTCGTTGCTTTCTCTTCTTCTTCTCCTCTGAGTTCAACTGATCATCTGGAATGAAATCGATTTGGGAATAAGGAATGAATACCACTCCAGAGGTCCCAGGTGGACTAGATTTACCATTCTCTATAATAGGAGATTGCTCACATCTCTAGCAAAGTACTAACATTAAATGTTACTTTTCTTATACAAATCCTGGCAAGGGTCAAGAATCCTCCTCAGTTCTGGTGCCTTATTAATGCGTCTATATGTAAGATGTGACCTGAGATGGTTGCCTGAAGAATATAACTTGCATGCTTTTTGAAGTCTATTTCATACAAGAGGGCTAAAGGAAAAATCTCATGCTTGTCTCTATTCTCTGTATTTCACTAGAGATGGAGAAATAAAAATAAATCACATTTTATCTTATTCCCTTACACAATATGATGCTCATTCATACAGTTTTATTACCAATTATACCAGCCCCCTCCTGGCTCCTCTCCAAAGCACAGACCCAAGGTCACAAGTTCACATTTACAGAAGAGAAACTGCTCAAACCCAACCAGAAGGACTTCCATTTTAACATGCTTTCTCTTTGAAGCAGTGACTCAAAACAATATTCACTACTCCACGCTATTGCCCAAGCAGGCTTCAGCTTAGATCAAGGTTAATGTCAGGAACAATACCAGGAACCCAAGCAACCATTATCTTGGGACTCACCCTAAGA